TCAACGACCATCATATCGATAGGCGTGGATTTTTTTAAAGGAATATTTTTCAACGACCATCATATCGATAGGCGTGGATTTTTTTAAAGGAATATTTTTCAAGGACCAAGATATCGTGTAGAGTGGTTATTCATATAACGGTTTGAAGGATCATCATAACGTTTACGATTAATGGAGGTCATATTGTCCAGAGGGTATTTTTTTCACAGACCTTCGGAAGAACCTTCAGATACAAAAAGTTTATCGAACGAATAACGTTACGTTTATATTAATTGTGTTGCTTAAAAATGTTTATTCTCAAAATATTATTCAAATAAAATATTCGTTTAATTTTTAATATAATTATTTTTCTTGTCTTTTTCAGATGACTTTTTTCTAAGTCCCAGTAAAAGCGCAGAGCACCGAATCAACATAAATCTTCAAATAAATAACAAAAACCCAATCTCTCTTTTCCAACACGTTGCAAGAAAACTCTACAAAAATTGTGCGTTTCAAACAAGTTGTTGCCGCCAATTACGGCCAACCAACCTCCCAACACCACCACCAACAACAACACCAGCATAGTGTCCAGCACTATTCGTGCCCGACGTCGGCAACAACGGCAGCAGCAACCGTGCATACCAACCACAAAGTGAACAACTTTGAGGCAAAAATGCATCTCACAACGACAACAAATGGAGGTGGGGCCAACAATGCCAATAACACGGCCGCCTCCAATACGGCCAACAATAACAACAACAACAATTCGAATACACAGAATAACAACAATAACAGTTCGAATAATTCAAATGCCAATAACAACAATAGTTCGAATGGCAACAACAACTCGACAGAACAAAATACTCCGCCCACAGCAGCCCAGCTGCTCAATGAGGCCTATACAAAAATGACTTCGGATATCTTGGCCGAACGTACTTTGGGTGATTTTCTTACCGAACATCCGGGTGAATTGATTCGTACCAGTAGTCCATTGTTTGTGTGTACAGTGTTACCGCCCCACTGGCGTTCGAATAAGACATTGCCGGTGGCGTTTAAAGTTGTTTCGCTGGGTGATATTATGGATGGGACAATGGTGACGGTGAGAGCGGGCAATGATGAAAACTACTGTGCAGAGCTGAGAAATTCAACGGCGGTAATGAAAAATCAAGTTGCCAAATTTAATGATTTACGTTTTGTGGGGCGAAGTGGTAGAGGTGAGTAAATTCATTGTAAATTTGTTAATGTTTATCATAAATAAATACCCATATCGTACCTTAGCGTATACATGTTAGGGTATTGTTTTTTTATTTATACATCATACGCCACGTGTTATTGCTTTATTTCTAAATAAACAGGTTTCATGTTAAGAAATAGTCATCGTTAAATATGGTCATTAAATGTTGTCAGAACGAGGTTAACCACCATAATGTTGTCGCTGTTTTGTCTTGACAAAGACATTTCACGCCATTACTACTGTCAACAAATCGGGTAATTTGTAAAACAAATATATATTTTATTATGGTTCTAAGAAGACGAGACCATGTCATTGAGTTGTTGTGACATGCCAGAAAGTCATTACATGTTTATTACTGCTATAATAATTTAAGTTTTTCGTTCGAAATATGATTCTTCTATTATATTGCTTCACATACCTCAGTTCAATGTTGCTTTCAGGAATGTCGATAGTTGAAAAATAAATAAAAAAAAAAAAAATAGAAGCGACGGTACTGGGATTGATATCTAGCAGAAAAATCAGATTGACATAGTGGGCCTAATTTTCAGTAGACTAGCAAAGGAAGTTTACTAGGTTTTGTATGACAACTTAAAGAGACCTCTCCCTTTATTTTATATCCATTTTAGTTATAGGTTCGATCTAAAACTACTCAAGAGTTTCTCAAAATGTTGAACATTTCCTAGACCATTTTGTATACCATCCACCTTGAGGAGTAATACAAGCTATGTACGTGGGTTGCTAGCCTGTTGAAATCTCGATATACATTCTCATAATTAAACCAGTAAGGAAAGTAGTAAAGTCGGACTGGACCGACTATATGATACCTTTCACCACTTTGGGTATATTTTACATATGTGTCTTAAAAGACGTCGCCTTTTCGAATGAACATTGACATGAAATTGAACGAACTTAAACATGTGATCTTTATCTATATCTAAACCGACTAACATCAATCCCTACACATGTCATTCTGAAACCTATGCTAAATTTTGTAAATCGATTTAAAGCAAACTTGACACACGCTATTCGGTATGCTTAACTGTTTAGAATTTAATCTCAATCAAACACTCATCGATTATTTGGTGTACAATAAACATGAATAAGTCGACATTATATATATTGAAGCTATGCTATATCTATATCTGTACCGATTTCAAGGAAACTTGCCAGAGATTAATTTATATTAACTTCAGTACGTTGTGTCAATCGGCCTAGCTGAGGGTCTTTAGTGCACCATTTACTTAAAATCGGACGAATATATATATATATATATATAGGAGGTGTTTGTAAATCTGATCCGATTTTCGAAAAAAAATATGGACACATCATTCTAGACATAATTTAGTACGCTATACAAAAATCGAAAGATATAGGGGGCTTTGGTGCAGCATTTACATGAAATGGGACAAAAATATATATGGGAGCTATATCTAAATCTGAACCGACTTTCACGAAACTTTGCACACATTATTCTAGACTTAATTTAGTACGCTATACCAAAATTCGTGCAAATAAAAAGATTTACAGGGAATTTGGCGCACCATTTACCTAAAATCGGATGAAACTATATAAAGGAGATATATCTAAATCTGAACCGATTTTAACGAAACTTAGCACACGGCATTCTAGACTTAATTGAGTACGTTATGCCAAAATTCGTGCAAATCTAACGATTTTCAGCGACTTTGGTGCACCATTTACCTAAAATCGGACGAAAATACATATGGGAGCTATATATAAATCTGAACCGATTTTCTCCAATTTCAATAGGGTTCGTCCTTGGGCCAAACCAATGGACTGTGCCAAATTTCATTCAATTCGATCATAGATGCGACCTGTACTTTTCCAACATCAAACTAATGGAATGTCCGACTTTAACAAAATATTGTACAACCTTTAACTTTTACCAAGCCTATATAAAGTTTGAAGATGGGACACATTGGTCCACTCCTTCTGTTACCTCTCCCACAAAATGGTCAAAATTTTGCTAAAAATTATTTTTATAATAAAATTCAAACGGACTATCCGATTTTAACGAAACTTTGTACATCCTATTATCTTTATATACCGAGCCTAGATCAAGTAGGAAGATGGGACCCATTGGTCCACTCCTTCTGGTACCTCCCCAACAGAGGGTCAAAATTGTCAATAATTACGAATCCAATATCAGACTAATGGAATGTCCGATTTTAACCAAACTTTGCATCTATTATCTTTACTAAGCCTATACCGAGTTTGAAAATGGGGCCCATTGGTATACTCCTTCTGATACCTCCAATATCAGACGAATGGAATGTCCGATTTGAACCAAACTTTGCACAATTATCTTTACCAAGCCCATATCAATTTGAAGATGGGAGCCATTGGTTCACTCCATCTGGTACCTCGGCCACAAATGATCGAAATTTTCAATATTTATAAATACAATATCAGGATAATGGAATGTCCGATTTGAACCAAAGTTTTCACAAGCTATTACCTTCACCAAGCCTAGATAATTTTTGAAGATGAGACCCACAGGTCCACTCCTTCTGTTACCTCCCCCACAAAGGGACAACATTTTCAATATTTATAAATCCAATATTAGGCGAATTGAACCAAGATTTGAACAATCTGTTATCTTTACCAAGTCTAGAAAAATTTTGGAGATGGGACCCTTGATTCACGCCTTGTGATACCTCCCCCACAAAGGTCAAAATTTTCAGTATTTATAAATCCAATATCAGGCGAATGGAATGTCCGATTTAAATAAAGCTTTGAAGCCAAGTCTAGAACAACTCCGAAGTTGGGGCCCTTCTTCATACAAGTGGCTATGTCAAAACTTTGAAAATGTTCTCCATAGTTTTGTTTAGCCTCCAAGGATGCTAAATTACAACTTCTTCACTGAAAAAGCTATTCAAAATGTTGACCTCACCTTTATTGGTGCGGACCATTAATAGAAGGTCTGATAAAAACTGAACCGTTTATTTATTCAGCAGTAACTATCCCCTTTAATTTCCTTAATATGCTGCTGATGATGTTTTTTAATCCTCGAAACACTTCTGATAGTTCCAATTTCGATTTCGCTTCCGTTGATTATCAAAAACTCGTGAACAAGTATCGATGAGTGATTTTTCTACAATTCTGTGTGTTTCAGACGAATTACACAAACGGCGCCCAACTTCAAGATATTATTCCTTATTGAACGTACGAACTTGTGGGAAGAATTCCTGATGTTCGCCGCCATTGCAATCGAAGTAAACATTGAACAAAGCCTTCACATTTGACCAAACTTGTTACTTAATTCGGTCATCTTCTCGGCCTACCTTAAATTGGTTACACCGTAATTGAATGACAAAATTTCTAAAATTTGGAGATAAACCTACGAGAATATACTTGGTTTTAGCTCCTGTATAAATAACTCGATAATGAAGCTTGAGAATCTGTAATGACACTCTCAATTTAAAAAAAAAAAACTTACTGAATTATTTTTTTGTTTATCAAATTGCTGATTACACAATTCAAGTTTTACAACACCCACACTCCTATCTGACTAAGTGCCAAAAACTATTTCTATATATTCCAAACTAAAACAATAGCCTATCCATTTATGTACAACAAATAAACTCTATTAGCTACAAAAAACGACTCAAATCCACTTTAGCAACTTAATTTTCTATATTACTCTACAAACAAAAAATTGCCATGTAATTGCTAAAAAGAAGAGCGAACTTTTAATTTGTGTTGTATTGTGTTGCGTTTAAAAAACACAACACTACCACTTAAAAAGTTTTATCTTGAATAGTGGCGGAAAGGTATGACAGATTTCAGTCTTTCGTTTCTCATGCTGTTGCACAATGGTATTTTGGAAATCCCTTCAATTTAACAATACAAAAAACAACAACAATTTGGTTGGAGCGGCAGCAGTAACAGTAGCAACATTACGTTGTAGCATGGCAGCCCATCATCAACACCACCATATTGTATGTGTGTGTTTTTTGGTCAAAAAATTCTATCCTTGACCATAGAAAACAATGCCCATTCTTGTACAAAGCCAAGTTACCAACAGTTTTTTAGAGCAAAGAGGATTGTTTTTTTGTTTGCCCATCTTCTGAGGCCAAAAAGGCCACATCAATTGATGTGTGTTGAACGTATGAGCGAGTGTGTGTGTGCGAGTTTTGTGAACAACAAAATAACACGCAGCAATTTACACTTTTGTTTATTGGTTGCCTTCCGCTTGACAGAAACAAAACAACAAAAATTACTCGGCAACAATTTGTTTTCTACCATTTTCTCCTTTTTGACGTTGGTTTTATTGTTGCCGTCCAACAAATAAAAAATACTTTCCCGCTTATCACAAAAGTTCATTAAGTGTTGACCAAAAAACACAAAACTTTTTCTTGGCCTTTATGTGAACGAAATTAAATATCAACTGTTAAAAAACAGACATTTTATTAACAATGGACAAGGAAGCAGCAACTGGAATACTGGCGTGTAAGGGAATTTTGTTGGTTATTTTTTATGGAGTCACCACTTCACTACAATTAAAATTTTGATACAAATTTCTTTAAAATAAATTAATCGGAATATTTTGCAAAAATGAAAATTGGAGTATAGGTATTTGTACAGGTGGGCGTATGTTTGTTGCGATAAATAACTTGTGATGATCATACGCACCCACGAACCATTACGGGATCTCTTTTGAAAATATTCAACAATTTTTATACCCTTCACCACACTGTGGTACTGGGTATTGTTGTATTGGGGAGCTGACAAGGAAACCTTGTTAACGACTTATAAAGCAATAGGCCGGTCTGTGGTAAGCTATGCGGCGCCAGTGTGGTCCGCAAAGGAGTGGAAAAGTCTTCAATCCTGCCTGAAAGCCGCCCTGAGGACTGCAACAGGGTGACTCCAATAGACCACTTACATGAGGAGACGAAGATCCTTCCTGTGCGTCAACACAACACGATGTTGTCGATGCAATACCTGCTTGGGTGTTAT